TTTTCTAATATTTTAAAGTAAGCAGTAAAACACGACACATAGATAGATAGGTGATAGAACAGCACAGAATTGCAGTCAGAGTGTAAAAAAGTAAAGGAGATTAAACTTTTCATTCGTTTTCACCTTTCAATGATGGGCGACCCTTAGAGTTTGACAGTTTAGATTCTCCTTGGTGCTGAGTAATAGTTGAGGGATCTGCCTGTCTGACCCAATAACATGAGGGTCCATGTCTATTTTGGCTCCTCAGCTGCGGCTGCTGTGAGGGATTACAGCGCTGAAAGCCCTGTGTGAAAGCAGGTCAGCGGGAAGTGGGGTGACTTTAGCGTCACGGTATTTAGGACTTGAAGAAGAGTGGTGTTGTTAAGAGTGTCAGTCAAGAGGGTAGAAAAAAGAAATGCTGTTTCTGTTTTTGTTTTTATGTAACACAGTAGATGAATGGTACAAATAAAACCATAGTTTTTTGGTGTTTATTATAGTTTATTGTCTCCTTTTTGTGTCTGCCCAGGTACGGAAGCACATAAATGACTTGTACGAAGACCTGCGAGATGGGCATAACCTGATCTCACTGCTGGAGGTTTTGTCTGGAGACACATTGGTGAGTTTACATTTGTTCATCATTTTATTGCCTTGTTTTTTGCTCGTATGCAAAAAAAAAAAAAAAACAGCTCTGGAAAACTGTGATTATAGTTGCAATCAAGTACTGAGAAAAAAGGGAAAACACTGGTAGAAATGAGACTTAGAGGACAAACTGTTGGCTTTTTCTGTAGTAGTTAGAGGACGTACACATACAAACACACGGAATAAGGTTTTATACTATACTTATTATAATTTGGACGAGTATTGTTTTGTGCACAGGAAGCTGTCTAAACTTCAGTTGGACTTGGGTAACAGGGACAAATTGATATTGACAGCACAACTTATTAAAACAATTTAACGTCACATTTTATCTTTAAGTCCCCCCCCCTTTGTTTGTCATTAGGTTCGACCAATGGGAGGCTAGATATCTTTTTAATACTTGACAATTTGGGGCTGAACTAAACATACTGTAATAGAAAAAGATCAGATCACAATGACAGTGGTTCTCAAAGTGAGGGGCAGCCCCCCTTGTGGAACGTGGGCCTACTGCAGGGGTCCACTACAACAGGAGGTTGCTGTTGGAAACCACTGACTGAACAGATGCTAGTTTCCAACTCTGTTCATAATTTGTTGAGTTCAAAGGTCATTTAGATTTGGCAGCATTTGTGCAAATTTGCTTTACGTCTCTTTTTTTCACCATAACTTTGTAACTATACGTGTTAACAGTGAATTGGCTCGTACAGAAAACACTTGCAGGTTTTATTTTGATAAATTAAAGTTCCATTAGTTTATGATTATTGATATTTATCTATATTTTTTGCAATGGAGTTGCTATAGGGTTTATTTTTATAAGCCCAGAAAAAATTGCCATAAAGTGCATGTGATTCATAGTCTGTTGAATTCTATTTCCTTGTCAGTTGTTGCAATTCTCATATCATACAGTAAAACACTGTCTGTGGAGTAGTCTTTCTAATGTCCTGGCAACATAATATTATTAGAGAGTACATTTGAATTTCTTCTGTTAGAAGCCCATGTAGTTCCTTCCTGTCTAGTGACTAACTTTCATCTGAGTGTCTGTTTTTTCTGTTTCCATCCGACTTTTCTCCATCTTCTGTTCCTCACTCTTTCTTATTTTTGTCCATTGTCTAACCTTCTGATTGATTTGGCTACTGTGTGTGTGTGTATGTGTGTGTATATGTGTGTGTGTGTGGGCGTCCATGTCCTTTTCTTCCCTCATGTGTTGCCTTTTCGCTGATAAGCCAAGGGAGCGTGATTTTCTGAAGACGTTACGGTTGGTGAGTGGGACAGACGCATGTGCAGTTGAGAAGCATGGCGACACGGTGGATGATGATAAGGGGGTACGTTTGGTTCGCCCCCCCTGCACCTCCCCGTATCTTACTACTAATTATAAGTGTGCTGTGACCAGTTGACACCATTACTGTGTAGAAATACTGTCCCTGCCCTGAAGGAGGATTTGTCCCTTACTGTGTTATGTAATTCTGGAAATAGAAGATACTGCAGTGAGTCCTGGGAAGACACAATGTGATTGGACGATATGCTGTCTCACAAATTATTGCTGATAAATGATAATATTGTTTTGTGTTTACCTGTGATTGAATTGAATAGAGCACACACATAGTACTGGGATTAAAACAACTAATTAATGTTATAAATTGGTTATATATGTTGGTGTTAACACAGTACAACGTGCAACAGAGGTAACACTGTCCATTTTCCTCTCACTGTTGATGGGTGCAGATGATGCAGAGAGATGTAAGCATTATCAGAGACTAAGACAGCTTCCTGTTTGCATGTTAATTTAATTATATGATGTAGCATAAATAGGCTCTGGATTAAGGGGAAGAGTGAATGTACTAGAACCCTATTTTCTTTCTAATAATATCATCACATCCATTACATGAGCTGTGCACATGACTAACTCATTAATTTTAAGGTATTTAATTTTACTTGAGCTTTTTTTTTTTCATTTGCTGATTTTAAATATTTCACTACTTTGAGGCCTCAGCAAGCCAAAGTCAGTGAACGAGATCCACTAAAGGAGCGACACTGGTTTGTTTCTTTGCTACTTGGAGAAGCAGCCAGTGTAGCTGAATGCAGGACAGTTCTGCTGCTGCTGCACCCCGGCTTCATAGCATTGACCATCTCACTTTCTCAGGCTTCGGTGCATGATTTCTGCTGAGTTTATAATAACACTAACTGATCTCTGAAGCGTCAGCAGCTGAACGGTAATTCTTTCCGATTACAGCTCTGGTTGTCAGACTGGCTTACAGCAGGTTCGGTGGCCTCACTTGTCTTAACATGATCACAGGAAGTTTGTGGAGTGTGAAGTGGTGGGAAATGTTTTTTACAGTACATGTACAGTACAAATGTATGTACTGGAAATGGTTACTTTATTCTATTGCTGTCATGGGTTTGGTTTGTTTGTGTCCAGAACAGCTGGTAAGATTGTAGAAGCATGTCCTGTTTCCTCTGTGCTATTAATCAGTTTCATTAATCCGTTTGGAATATTAAAAAAAATAACCTGATCAATAAACATAATTCATATTTTTTTCTTTTCATGCCCTCAGCCACGGGAAAGAGGGAGGATGCGTTTCCACAGACTCCAGAATGTACAAATAGCACTGGATTATTTAAAAAGGCGGCAGGTAAGAATTGATCAAAATAAGTATATACTGTATATATTACTGTATACATATATACATAGCTGTCAACCTTTCTCATCAGAGTAAACACACGGTTACTGTGGATTAATTTAGATTAACTGTAAAACTACTAGAAACAATTATTAACAAGGAAATGAAACCTTTATATTTAGCTTAGGATCAGTGACTACAGTCAGAAAGCTTTGACTTCAACTCCCGTCCTCCTACAACAGTCAGCTGAGCTGAACCATAGCCAAACATGATGTAAGGCTTGAGACAAAGGAATCACACATGATCCTGGATGACCTATGTTGTTTTGGCTACAGAGCGTGACAACAAATACACCCACAGCTCTTTAGTAACAATGTTCAGAAGTCCCCCATCTAACACTGCAGCTGATGAAACAAAACAAGTATTGACAGAATAAAACAAACAATGATGTTTTATTGGTTCATGTTAATATTATTCTGAATCATGTCAATAAATATATGTCACTTCAACAACAGGAAGCCAGTGTAAAACGCTTAAACTCAGATCTGTGACTCAAACAATACAATAGCTGTTGTGCCCCCTTGTGGTGTATGTGCAACAATACCCAACTGAGGCAACATGCACATTGCAGTTAACCTGAAAATTCATACTGAAATAACAAAACTGCTGTAGTAAAAAAACAACAACAAAAAACCCCACAAATATTTTAGACATTTGGATATATTGCAGATTTTTTTTTAAGATAAATTGGAATAATAAATAACATGCTTCTCGTCATCAGGTCAAACTTGTAAATATCAGGAATGATGACATCACAGATGGGAATCCCAAACTGACCCTGGGACTGATCTGGACTATAATTTTGCACTTTCAAGTAAGTAGTTGTTGTGTTGTTTTTATTTGATTTTGAAGTATTAATATAATAATATAATAATTGCTGTTAATGAAGGCATTTTTGAAACTTTTCAGTAGACAGAAATGTGTGTTGGCTGTTGCAAATGATCCTGACTGGAAAATCCTTTCAAACTGACATCTAAAAATAAACCAAACTGCCAGCAGATGTCGAAGCTGTGCACATTTTGTAATTGATCTTTCACTACTTGATGGATGTATTAAAGTATGGGCTGATGTTTCTTTTTTTTTACCTGGCATACAAGTCAAGTTGTTGGATTAAGCTCAAGTTTAAACTTGAAGAGGAAAAGTCATCTTTGTTTATAATGTGTTTATACAAGTGTGTTATTTAATGTATTATTAGATAACAGCCTTGATCATAAACATGTTTATTTCTTTATTACATGACTAAAATGCATCATGTTTTTGGGTGTTTTATTCAATGCTGCCTGATTTGATTATTTTCCCTTGATTATCTCTTGAAAATATCTGTTTGATTGCTGGTGTGTTGAATATCAAACCTGCTCAGACGCTGTGTCATGACAGAAGTATCTGTTTGTTCTCTTGTTCTCACCATGGGAATTTCAAATGTAAAATTTATACTGTCGCTCAAAGCAGGTTGGGAAACATTGATATAGGCAGTGGTCAAACAGCTTGGTTGGTGGCATTTGACTCATATGGACTAAGTTGTTTTTATTTGCTAGAACATTCATGCATTTGGACGACCGTTGACCTCAGTGAAGTAATCAGGGCAAAAAAGTAGACCCCATAATATTTTCATTGTCTCTGATAGGCTGACAGGTAGCGTCAGTGATGAAACTAACACCTGCTGCTGTCAGTCTCACGCAAGCCCTTAAGCAGTTGATGCAGCAGCAGCAGCAGCAGCAGCAGTGGGCCTGTTACCTCTTGATTTGGAGGAGCAGCAGGCAGTACACTTCAGGGGCAAAGCATTACTTGAAGGCTTTAACATTAGCATGGCTGACAACATATAGACCTGCATGGACCGAACTCTGTTTTCATTGGCTCACAGTTTCTTTATTAATTCATGTTGCCCTAAAGTGTAGTGATTACCTCCTGTTTCAGAAGCAGGGGTTGTTTAAGGACATGGTGTTTGGTTTTCTCTCTGTTGCAGCTCAAAATGTAACATTAACTCTTCAGATGCATACGAGAAGTCATGTGAACTGTTTTAATCTCATCGTTATCAGGTTTATCAGTGCTTGTTTGTTTTGCCCAGATTGGTCACCTTTTTTGGCCTGTTTGCTTTGTTATTGCATTATAGACTCAATTAAATGCTTTTTTGTTGACCTAATAACAGTTCAGTTAAATCAGCTTTGACTGAAGTTATAGACGCTGTAATGGTTTACATTGATAGATAGAACTTTATTAATCCCTCTGGAGTTCCTTTTGGTCATAAAGTAGAGCAGGACTCTGATCTTTGTAGGCTATCAGCTGACCTTGACCTCCAGTGAGACTACATTTTTGTTAAATATTATGTATATATTGTGAGTTTAAAGTCATACAGTGATTCTAAAGACTACCGTTGCCACTGCTAGCTGCTAGGTTTTTTTTCCTCCTGACTCAAACTTGCTGAGACCAAATTTCTCACAGCCTGCTGTCATCTGTCATCCCCTTACAGTCCAGACCCAGTCCTTCCAGCACTTGTTATCACAAACACAAATATACTGTAAGCCAACCTGAGCTGACGTTGCTGTTTTACCATGTGGACCAGGGAGACTAAACAGGTCTGGGAACAGGTCCATCCACAAGTCTCGTTCATTCTTTCTCAGCTGACAGCTCCGTGAGCACGTGGCCCGTGTCTTTGTGTGTGTGCATTTATGGTGCCTCCGTTGTATTAGCAAAGGCAGAGAAATGTATCAAAGGTCAGAACTCAGTCTGACGTCAGGGGAGAGTCCAGAGGGAGCGTGCAAGGAAGAGGGAAAGGGAGAGAAAGAGAGACTGACCAGTTCTCTGCTGTGAGCGGCTTAGAGTAAATCAAGGAAAGTTAAAAGTCAACTCTGCTGAGTGAGGTGAAAGATTATGTCCTGCCTCAGGGCTGTTTGTCGCTGCTAATCATGTGGCCGTCGCACAATGGGAAAATAACTCAGTGGGACTGTGACTCTGCGGAACCGGCGGATCTTATTGGATATTTTGTCTGAGAACAGGTATGATTATTGGTCAGACATGGGAAACGTCTGCGGTTGTGTTCGAGGACCCAAAGAAGAATGTTACATTGACCCAAAGAAAGCTCCACTGACGCCGGATTCTAAACATAGCAAAGGTCGCCGCTATTTTCAAAGGAAGAAGAGGAAAGTGGAGGACCTTCAAACTCATGTGTCTCCAAGAAACCCTGGCCATGCCAGTGGAGCAGTCTGTGATACAGACGTTCAGGATGGAGCAGAGAGGAGCCCAGAGGAAAGAAAAGGATCTCTGGGTAAACCAGTGGTGGTGGAGACATGTCCATCCAGGCGAGACAGCACCGGCAAAGGTGTCAGTGTTGAAGAAGAACCAGTTTTAGTCCTTGGAGATCCTTCTAATCAACATCATGGTGTGAGGTCGACTCAGAGGTTGAGGTGTTCCACACAGGAGTTGAAGAATGATGCGAGCAGGTGCACAGCTGAAGGAAAGCTCCGTGGTATTAACTCACTGTCCAGAGGTTTGTCAGCTAAAGACGGTCTGATTGTGAAGAAGCTGCTCCAGCGCCAGTTAAGAAGGGCTGTCAGCTTTGGAGCAGTGGAGCACATGTTACAAACTCTGAGAGGCCACGACAGTCCTGGCTGTGAAGAAACATTTGCCAAGATTATATTGGACTCTCAAGCTCACAGGAGGAGGAGGAGAAGGAGGTCCTATACCTGCTCTGGTTCTGAAGAATGTCTTCCCATTTCTTACAAACATGTTCCAACCCATCGCGAGGTAAACTGGGTGCCAGTTATTTATATCTGTAATTCAGTATGTGATTCACACTAATGATCTTTAATACTGTGGTTTAAAAACATAGTCATTCTAAGGTGTGTTGTATATTGGGTTATAGTTGTAGTCAACAATAACTATGATAATAACTGTTTTACACACATGGTTGGTTTCAGGGCATTAAAACATTTTTCATTTTCAGCTAGCAGGTAATTTATTACCACCACTTTATCTCAGTTTCCCATCCTGCTGTGCTCATGTTGACTGTGTTTCAAGTACAAACAGACCTGTTCACGTGTCACTCAGATAAAGAGTCTGTGGATCTGGTCAAACATGGAGAAACTCAACCAGAGTGAAGCTTGGCGTTTCAAACAAATCGGCTTTATATTTTCCACTCATGAATGTTTAAAAAGTGAATGACTTTTTTTTTTTTTAATTAACATTACTACTTCTTTACTATTTCTGAAGTATTGGTTTTGGATGTTTGAAAAGTACAATATATTTATGTTTGAGAAATGTGTAATTAATTTTTTTATTGTTTTATACTGGCTTTAAACTATTGAAATGTCAGTAGTAGTAATTGCCGTGACTAGCAACACTTGCTGAAATGCAGCTCCAGACCTGTACAGAGCAGTAATGCATGAATGGATTTCTACTGGTTTGGACTAACAGTTGTTAGTTTAATTGCAGTCTTTCAGTGCAGATAATTTGTTTTATTAGAAATTCTTGATCTTGTTCCTTTTTGATTTTTTTGGAAATGTTTTTGTTGCAATTTTACTCTTATTAATTTGTGTTTTATAGGCAATGCAATTCAATATATGTGGATGATTCAGCCATTTCTGGTAGTGGAAATGAATTCCCTAGAAATAGTATTCCAGATATACTTTAAATAAACAAAGTAGATTTTCAGTGAGTTCCATTTTTAATGTTAGCACATTCACTCACAACACTCATAATTTGTTTTCCGGCAGATCTCGGAGATCCATGTGACAGGGGAGTCCGAGGACATGACAGCCAAGGAAAGGCTGCTGCTCTGGTCCAAGCAGATTACGGACGGATACGTCGGCGTACGGTGCGACAACTTCACAACATCGTGGAGGGATGGGAGGCTGTTTAACGCCATTATTCACAAATACAGGTAACAGAAAAACACGAGGGAAACGCCAGGAATATAGTGCAAAACAGAAACACAGCATTGCTAACAAATCCATTTCCTCTTTTTCTGTGTTGCAGGCCTGACCTGGTTGACATGAGTCGTGTCTCCACTCAGACCAGCCGGTCAAATTTAGAGCAGGCATTTTGTGTAGCTGAACAACTGGGGGTGGCCAGACTGCTCGACCCTGAGGGTAAGAGCCACAAACCTGTCATATTTTACTTACTGCAAAAAAAAGTGTTTTAAAATAATTTTTTATTATCCCTGAATTAAGGACTTGGCTCCAGGGGTCATTTTCTTTTGATTTTCTGACACTTTTGTTTTATATTTAATGTTTTATTTTATCAGACGTTGATGTTCAGTCTCCCGATGAAAAATCCGTCATCACATACGTCTCCACACTTTACGATGCCTTCCCTAAAGTACCGGACGGTGTTGATGGAATCAGTCCTAATGTAAGTGAAGGGTCTCAGCAGTAACTGCTGTCCGTCTAAGTGAAAAAAAAAAAAAGAGTGTTTTTTATTTGGGTTGTGCTGTGATCAGGATGTGGATATCAAATGGGTGGAGTACCAGAACATGATCAAATACCTCAGCCAGTGGATCAGACACAATGTGGCCCTAATGTCAGACAGATCATTCCCCAACAGCCCTGTGGAAATTAAGGTATGATCGCAGAGCAGTAGAGGTCTCTCCTGTGATGTTTCTGTTTACTGCATCAACTCCGCTGTCTGTGTGTTCTCACAGGCACTTTATACGCAGTATTTACACTTTAAAGAACATGAAATCCCACTGAAAGAAAATGAGAAGACGAAGATAAAAAACCTCTACAAAATGCTCGAGGTGAGTTAGTCTGACGGCTCGCAGCACGTTGCTTTGATTTCAGATCAATATTTGGAACGCTCAGATTGTTCTGTGTCTGACAGATGTGGATCGAGTTTGGGCGGATCCAGTTACCTCAGGGTCACCACCCCAACGATGTGGAGAAGGAATGGGGTAAACTGATTGTTGCAATGCTGGAACGGGAGAAGAGCCTGAGGCCTGAGGTGGAGAGGTATGTGGCCTGGCTCATCCTGATGAAAGATACATGTCAGATCTCTGTTTGTTTGTATTCTTATTTCTATTAGCTGAACGTATTGTACATATTGACTGATGTACTTTATTTTTTTTAATATTATAATATTTTATATTTTGATTTTGTAAAACTTTAATAGTATATTACTTTGTACTGCATCATAATCATTAAACCTATGCACATTTAAGGGTTGCATATATATAAAGATGAAAGCAGAATATTTAGAACTGATAATTTTGTGTTTTCTATAGTTAAAATTGTAAAAATAATATTATTATTATCTATGAGCTACAAATATGAAGCTATGAATTATTAGCATGATAAAAAATCATTTATTTGTAGGTCATTTTTAGTTTTTTTTTTTAGCATTACAGTATGGACTAGTGTGTGTAAATTCACTGTTCATTCATAAAGTAACATTAACTGGTGTGAGGAAGTCATACAAGGCCAGATCTAAACCATGTATATGGTATATGAATGATGTCATCATAGAATGTTCTGGGGCAGCTGTAGATGCAGTTCTCAGGTGTCCAGTTGCACTTTGTCTTTTGTCTCGAGTCAAACCAGGTGGTGAGGATTAGTGTTGTGTGTCAGAGTGTCATTTTAATCTGTTAAAGTAGAAATCCCCCTTTAACCGGACCACTGAATTTAATGCACAATTTGTATCAGTTTTAATGAGGCTCCAGTTGTTCTGTTTCCCAGACAAGTGAATGCATCATATGATTTTGTTTGTTTTCCGGTAGTGAGTAATTTGATCGTGTACTGCATTTGAAAGGAATGAAGGTAAAATACTTAAATTGCAGACCAGAAAACACAGTGTCATGTATTCCAAGAAAAAAACTACTTTAGAACGACAAGGATTTACTTTTAATATTTCCACTGCAAATATGTCTTTATACCGCTGTGTACCTGTGTCCTGATATGTTCATTTGGACTGAAGTGGTAGAACTCATTTGTCAACATGTTTTGCACAGGTTGGCATTTTGGTTCTGTCTGCAGTCCTGTCATTTTAGAGTGTTTATGTTGGGTGTGGCACGGAAAAAAAAGGATAAAAAGAAATTACAGTTGTCTGACAGCGTTTAATACAATCTCAGTATTTATGAAGCTACAGCTGCCTCGACTTGCTGTTTTATTTTCGTTTCCTCGGGGCAGCATTTCATTTCAGGGTGGGATTCAGTTAACATCCTTCTACCTGCCTATAAATATGAGACCGTTCAAAGCCTTTCAGTCAGTTGCAAGTGCAGGCAGTCAGTCGGTGTGTTGGAGTTAGGTCACAGCTGGGACCCTCACAGGGTGATGGTCTGGAGGAGAAGACAGACATAGTGCAGTGAGATGGCCTATATGAGCAGGATCTCATCTGTCAGCAACAGCAGCGTCACCAGCTATGGCTCCGACGACAGCGTCCTCACTGAGCCTTTACATCTTAACAGCTCATATTTTCTCAACAATAGCATCACTTATGGATCCAGGTGAAATGACTGCATCCTGACTTCCATTTGGTTTTGTTCTGTATCTTCTTATTTTTTGGTCACTGTTTTTCTTTAAGGCTCGAGATGCTGCAGCAGGTTGCCAACAGGGTTCAGCGAGACTGTTTGAATGGAGAAGACAAGCTGGCACTGGCACAGATCGCCCTGCAGTCTGTAAGTCCTGTGCAGATACAGTGAGTTACTAAAACACACATCACTGGATGAACGTCGTTTTGACGTCTTTTTTTCTCTCCACTTTGTTAAGGATGCAAAACGACTGGAGTCTGGGATTCAGTTCCTGCATGAAGCAGAAATCGCTGGCTACTTGTTGGAATGCGAGAACATCCTGAGGCAGCAGGTGGTGGACATCCAACTTCTCCTGGACGGAAAATTCCCTTTTGCAGATCAGCTTGTTCAAAGGTAGAATAAAAAATCCGAAATAACATAACGAAAACTTTTAACTCACACAAATGTTGTATCATATTTAGGAATCACAATTAATCACGATTAATCAATAGCTACCATGTATTTAAACACATTAAAATGAGTACTCTTTTGGAAAAACTAACAATAGTAATTGAATATATGATTTTCTTTTTTTTTCCAACAGGGTGTCAAGGCTGCGAGACGACCTTCTAAGCCTGAGGGCTGAATGTTCTTCTGTGTACAGCAAAGGACGAACTCTGACAACAGAACAGACCAAAATGATGATCTCAGGCATCACACAAAGTCTGAATTCTGGCTTCTCCCAAAGCATGGGCACAAACCTGACACCAGCTCTCACTCCTGCACTCACCCCCGGAGGGTTCGGCACTCCCGGTTCTACCTTCACCTCTAGCCTTACTCCATGTTTGACCCCATCCTTGACTCCCGCGTTAACCCCTGGCTTGCAGCCTTCGACGGTGCAGAGCTACATGGGCGGTGGTGGCACTGTGGATCCTGGAAGCCTCAGGCATTTGAAACACTTGCAGATCCGTAAACCTCTGCAGAAATCCTCACTGGCCGACCCCAATCTGACAGAGGAGGAGGTCAACATGAAGTACGTTCAGGATCTTCTGATGTGGGTGGAGGAGATGCAAGTGAGTGGAATGCACTTATGCATTTATCCATTAGGTTCTGTTACACATGTTAATCCAGGAGAGTGATGGTGTGCACTGTAATGTGTTTGAAAGATGCAGCTGGATCGCTCTGAGTGGGGATCGGATTTGTCCAGTGTGGAGGTGCATTTAGAAAATCACAAAAGCATCCACAGAGCTATCGAAGAATTTCAGATGAGCCTTAAAGAAGCCAAACTGAGTGAAGTAAGAACTGCAGAGTCTTTTTTTCTATTGTAAAATATAGAAATATTGTAAACATGGTCATAAAATGTTTTTTTTTTCTTAGATCCAGATGACCATTCCACTGAAACTCTCGTATTCAGACAACCTGAAAAGACTGGAAAAGCAGTATGAAAAGCTATTGGTGAGTTAACTGCTGACTTTTCACACATTGTATTTTCTCTTTTTGTTTTTATTTCTTGCCTGAACACATGAGCATGCACTCTTTGCATCACAGAACTCTTCAAGGGAGCGACAGAATCACCTGGAGAGCTTGTACGACTTTGTGTCACACGCCACGCAGGAGCTCATCTGGTTGAATGAGAAGGAGGAGGAGGAGGTGGCCTTCGACTGGAGCGATCGCAACAGCAACATCGCCAAGAAAAGAGACTACCATGCTGTAAGACATAAAAACTCACCAACATGTTCAAACTTGGTCTACTACAGCAGCTGCTGATCCTCAGCTGCATGTCTTTCTACAGGACCTGATGAAGGAGCTTGATGAAAAGGAGGAAACCATCAAACTGGTGCAGGACAAAGCAGAACGCCTCCTGTTCAAGAGTCATCCAGCCAGGATAACCATCGAAGTACGCACTCTTTTGTCTGTTTTTTAATGAGCGTCTGTGTCTCCACCCTGCAGCCACAGTGCTTAAATTATTACAAATTCTTGTTCAATCTTGCTTGTAATCTTCCAGCAATTACACCTGAATGTTGTGTCATTCATTTCTCTGGTTATCTTCCAGGCCTACAGAGCTGCCATGCAGACACAGTGGAGCTGGATTTTGCAGCTCTGCTCGTGTGTTGAACAGCATCTCAAGGAGAACGCGGTTTATTTTGAAGTGGGTTTCAACTTTTATATCTTTTTTTTTACCGATGCAGACCTTTTTCAGTGAATCCAGCTAACAAAACCTTCTCTGCAGTTTTTCACTGACGCCAAAGAGTCCATTGACTACCTGAAGGGCCTGCAGGATGCCATTCAAAGGAAGTACAGCTGTGATCGAACAAGCAGCCTACACAGGCTGGAGGACCTCATTCAAGAGTCAATGGTACAGAGTTTATTCATTAACCTACAGTATGTTGACATTAAAACAAACACAACAAAACATTGTGGTTTTTTTTGTTGGCAGGATGAGAAAGAGCAGCTCCTTCAGTACCGCAGCACTGTGGCTGGGTTAGTTGGCAGAGCTAAAAATATTGTGCAGCTCAAACCCAGGAACCCTGAAATGCCCGTGAGGTCGTCCCTCCCCGTAAAAGCCATCTGTGACTACCGTCAAATCGAGGTGAAAATCTGCAGGGCTGCATAACAACCTATTTTGTTAGAGTTAAATAGAGTTTGCATTATCCAATCCCAAACTGAGCTGTGATCAGTGTGGGAAGTTAGTCTTAGTATTTATAGAATTGATAGAATTTTAGTTGGCAATTTTTCTAAAATTATTTTGGACTACATTACAACATAACAATAACAAGTAGATTTGGATTGGAAAATTAGTTGAGTAAAATTTAATATTTTTATATTCATAAGATAAGTAAACTGTTGTCACGTTATGTCATAAATAGACCAGATGTTTTCCCTCCTCCTGACTTCACACCATCTCCTTTATTTTGACTGGGCACACATTCATTATGATTGGATATTGGATGTTATATATTATAACATGCCCGCCTTCTAGGCAACAAACACGGCTCTAATTGGCTCTTGCCCTCATGAACTCTTCCAGTTCACATGATGAAACTTCATCTCTACCAGAGTTTCAGTCCTGTTATCGTCATCATCAGTTTTCACCTAGCTCCACAACACTTCCTCTTTATAAAAAAGTGTTGGTGACTAAGTCTCTGACAGATATTATTAGTCAACATAATTAACAGTGATTAATTCCAACTGTTCAGATCACCATTTACAAAGATGATGAGTGCATTTTGGCCAATAACTCCCACCGCGCCAAGTGGAAAGTCATCAATCCTGCAGGGAACGAGGCCATGGTGCCTTCGGTTTGTTTCACTGTGCCTCCACCCAACAGAGAGGCCACTGACATGGCAACCAGGTGAGATAATTCACTTCACTGTATTCACAAAAAAAATTCAAATTAATTTGCTTATTCACACATGTTGTTAGGTTACATTATTAATGCATTTTGCATTTCCTGCAGAATGGAGCAACTGTATCAGAATGTTCTGGCCCTGTGGCACCACTCCCACATCAACATGAAGAGTGTGGTCTCCTGGCATAATCTAATGGCTGATATACGAGCCATCCGTAAATGGAATGTAGCCTCGGTAAGTCCGAATGCCTATTTTGGTTTTTCTTTATTCCTGCTTGTGTTTTTTTTTTCCTGAGCATTTATTTTTTCTTCTCACTGGTCCAGATAAAGACCATGTTACCTGGTGAGCACCAGCAGGTCCTAAGCAACCTGCAGTCCCATTTTGACGAGTTCCTGGAAGACACCGAGGAGTCTGAGGTATTCACTCTGGCAGACTGCACCCAGCTGGAGAGAGACGTGGCAGCCTGCAAAGAGTACTACCAGGAACTGCTCAGATCTGCAGAGAGAGGCAAGGATCACGTGCCCTTCCTGTGGTTCTCAGCACTAAGCTGTCGGGCCGTTTATTGGAAGCTGCACCTCCAGGGAAACACATGGATCTTAAAGCCTTTTAGGCCTCAAGTCAGTGGCTGAGAGAGTTATGTTTTTTCCCATGGACTGGGGAGAGTTTCTAATATGAGAATTACAATAATACAGTTGTAAATAGACGCTTAACTAAAGAGAAACTTGACTTGGATTCACTGATACATCAACACTTTGTTTTAAGCAATTTTATACATGGTAGTCTTTGTGAATTATATTTTTTTATCCACATTGGTAATCCTGATGCCACCTAGTGGTGAACTAGGTACACTCATAAAATGTGTCAGAAGTGCTTCATTTGTTTAGTGTGTAATTATCAATACCATTTTTCATATATGAACTAATGAAAAAAAATCCATACAAATGCACTTTTCCTTTTATGTTTCCTTCCTTTTTTTTGCATTTCTGACAATGTTTTTTATTCTCTGGAGCAGAGGAGCACGAAGAGTCGGTCTACAATAATTACATCTCGGAAATACGCAACTTCCGCATGCATCTGGAGGCCCACGAAGAACACATGATCAGGCAAATCCGCACGCCGCTGGAGAGAGACGACCTTGACCAGAGTCTTCAGCGTATTGCGGAGCACGAGGTAAACATTCAGAAAAATTAGTTATCTCAAAAAATATACATATTATTTATATCATATCACAATTGTCCATATTTTTTTTTTCAGAGAAAGATGGCAGAGCTGAATAAGCTGAAGGAGGATCTGGACGTCCTGAAGGAGAAGTGTGAACTCTTCCTCAGACAGGCTGCAGGGTCTCCGTCAGCTCCCACTCTGTCCTCTGAGCTGACAGTCCTCGTTCAGAGCATGAGCCAAGTCTACTCCATGTCTTCCATTTACATGGACAAGTACGGTCATTCACTTTCACGTCCTGAAGTATTTATGATTCAGTAGAGCACAAAAAGTTCATTTTCATTTTCTTTTTTTTTCAGACTGAAAACAGTGAGCTCAGTGGTGAAGCTAAGCCAAAACTCAGAGTTGCTAGTCAAAACCTACGAATCCAAACTCTACGGCGAAGACACCATCAACTCAGACGTCAAATCCACCGAGGCTGTCATTTCAACGCTTAAGGTGGTTCATAATAAAAACACAACATATATAAAAACCTCAACATCTTGAGATCTTTTTTAAAAAAAAAATCTGTTTATTGTAACAGCAATGGCGAACAGAGATCGATGAGAAACAGGAGATGTTCCATGATTTGGAGGATGCTCTGCAGAGGGCTCGACTTATCAGCGAGCGCATGTTTAAGGTGCACAACGAGCGTGACTTCGACCTGGACTGGCACAAGGAAAAAGCTGACCAGCTGAACGAACGATGGCAGAACATTCACTCTCAGACTGACAACAGGTGTGATTTGTTTTTTTACTGAAATACTTCAAATATTTATTTCTCCTGGAGGTTAAATCACTTTTTCCATCCTGACGTGTAGACTTCGGGACCTGGACAGCATCAATAAATCTCTGAAACACTACAGAGAGACTTACACCAGTCTGGATGAGTGGGTGAGAGAAATGGAAGTAGCACAGCTAAAAACACAAGAAAACAAACCAGAGGACAGCAAGGCACTGGCTGAGCTTCTTAACAAACAGAAGGTAGAATATGACAACCACCAGGAAAAACACAAACTACACATCTGTGTTAATGTTGACACGTCTGTTTTTTCAGGTCCTTGTGGCTGAAATTGAACAAAAACAAGGTTCAATAGATGAATGTCAAAAATACTCAGAGCAATATTCATCTGCCATCAAGGTAAGACCGCTGTGCAAAAATCACTATTATGACGACCACAGACAACGTTTATTGTAATTCAAATAACGCCAATCCTGTGACATCCACACCAGGATTATGAACTTCAGCTGATGACCTTCAGAGCTATGGTCGACTCCCAACACAAGTCTCCCCTCAAGAAACGGAAGATGCAGAGCTCTTCTGATGCCATTCAGCAGAAGGTGATTTTATTATTTTATTTCAACTGGTTTGTACAGTTGTTTCCAGTGTGGAAGACAAAAAAAACTCAATGAACATCTTGTTGTATTATCCTCATTTTTGAACAGTTCATGGATCTCAGGACACGATACACTGCTCTCGTCACTCTGATGACACAGTATGTGAAGTTTGCCAGTGAAACACTGAAGAGAACTGAAGACGAGGAGGTAAAAATCATTTCACATTCAGTGTCAATGTATCGGGGCTTCGGTGTGACAACATCTGCCATAGGAGTTCACTTTGTTACCTCTGCATGGTTCCTCACAGTAGTCTCGAGCATCAAAATGTTTTACTATGTCGCTGAGTATTGCCTCATGAAATACTCCTATGTACTTTCTACCAGAGCTGCATCCCTCAATGTGTATTTCTGGGGTTTTACGCTATGATGAATTGCTTCGATGCATGAAAGAAGCAATTCAAATGTGCACAAGGTGGTGCATGGTGCTGCGCATCGCTGGTGGTAGTCAGATGGGAGAGAACATTTTTTAGTAATGTATATGTTTTATTCAACACATGCCAGCGGATAACTTATTTTTTGTATTATAGAACAGGAAATCCTTTGAACAGGCACAGAATGCAAAAAGGACGGAGTGCATGGACCTCCAAAAAGCTGCGTGTAATGTAGAGATTAGTCAACTTAAGCAACGGCTCCACGAACAGGAGATTATGTTGGCTGAAAGACGGACACAGCTGGAGAAGCTGGAGGCAGAAGTAGGGATGCAGCAGAAGACTATTGACAATCTTAACTTTCAGAAATCAAACCTCGAGCATGAAATTCATCAGTATCGCACCAAATTAGATGTAGTGGTAAGGGACAAGGCTGCCACTGAGCAGGAGTTATTTCACACCAAGCTGTTAATTGAACAGGCAGAGGCCAAACTGTCAGTGACTCAGAGTAAACTGGACGATCTTAAAACACAGAGCGCTCTTCTTCAGAGGAAGGCAATCATTGAGGCAGGACGTGAGGAAGAATTAGAACATCAAGTCCAGGTTAAAGTCAATGATCTGACTCAGCAGCCTTCTGCAGCTCACAGTCAGGTGGTGGTTGAAGGGCAGGCATCTGCTCATAGAGAAAATGAAAAGAAAATGACAGAGGCTTTGCAGGAGAAATTAAAGGAACTAGTCCAGGCCCAGAGAAACGCAGACCTGGCCGAGGAGAAGGCACAGAGTTTTAAAAAGCTGCTGGACGACAGCAGTAACAGGCTGAAGAAACTTCAGATGGAGGTGGAAGCTGA